AACCAGGGTCCACCAGCTTGAGACAGCCATGCAGCTCAGGTCTTCCAGTAGCTACTTGGCACTTTTTTTAGACATCAGGAATTTAATTAGAATCTCTGGAGATAATTGTAATTATTCTATAGCGAGCCAGTGCACTGTGGCAAGGATCCGATTCACCCTCACACCTGCAAACACAACTCATACTGATAGCCACCTTAAGAGTATCGTTTGCGGGCCGGCTGAATGGCTCAGTTGGTTAAGAGCTCGCTCAAGAGTTTGAGCTCTGAGCAACAGCGGTTCGAGGCCAGCCCGAGCTGAGCAGCCGCTAAGCTGCCAATAGGTAGCAGGATGGCTCAGCTANAAAAAAAAAAAAAAAAAAAAGAGTATCGTTTGCTGTCAGAAACTATCGATAGATGAGTAAGTTACTAAATTGTTCTCCCACTGAGATTGGAGCCATTTCCTCCAGTGGTGATGTTGAAACAGGGCAACAGGCAACTACAAAGAGACCTTGCACCACCACAGACTAATGTTTTGTGAATAGTGTGAGGACCCCGGCCTGGACCCTAGGCCAGACAGACCCACTTTTTAAAAATCATACTTCAGCTACTTTAGCTAGACTCTAAGCAGAACTTCCCATTAAGACAAGACACCAGGGGTTGGTAATAATAGACAGTAAACGCCTAGTTTTACAAGAAATGGGTTACAACAGAAATATTAAAAATGTTTTGCAGAGTAGTTTTGTCACAACTGGCTTGGAACATTTTACAAGAACTAACAGCTCTTTTTGCTTCTGTACACCTGCTTTGCTTCTGCTTTTTGCCCAATACGCCAGAAAGCAAGCCCTATAAAACTTCCACCTGCCACGACCTCGGGGCCGTTCTCTTGAAGAGTAAGGTGGTCTCCAGGCTTGGCTTAATAAAGCCTTTGGAATGAAAGCGCTGTCTCTTAGGTCATTTTTAAGAAGTAAGGACCTAACAATAGGGGTTTAGGCAGGCTGGGGCTAACCCTCAAAGCAGGATGCTCATAGTAGGACATTCAAAGCTCTGAGGAAGACAGCTCTGCCCAGTGCTGTTTCAAACCCTTCAGATGTCAGGTTCCACAACAAAAAACTAACCAACTCACCTTCATGAGCCATGAAAGTTATTAGCAAGAAAAGTGAATATATAAATACACACAGACACACAGACACACACACACACACACACACAAATGTATGTATGTATTGGGGGTTACTTAGAAGAATCATCAAAGGCAGGTATATGTTTATAAACTGCAGCCAAGCTTTGTAAAAATGAACATTTATTTCTTCAGCAGCTAAAGAGTAGAAAGAAAATACGCCTAAAACTATTACCTGGTCAGTTTTTTTTACTGTGGTTAGTTACAAAGCCAGGTTGCTCTTTTGAGGTGATGAGGCAGCCCTGACAGAGTAAGCCACACCATTTGGTAGATTTTGCTATAACCGGGGACAAAATACTTGCCAAATAACTGAACTGCCAGCTTCAATAGCAACTGAATTGTGTTTGTGCTATCAGCTTCAGGAGAAAGTCTATGGAGGACAGTGACATAAGGAAAACTTTGAAACTCCTCAAGGGTCACTTCCTGTTTCTTTCAGTATAATAGCTGAATACCCATTTTTCAGTTGCTTCAGAAGTGCAGGCTGACTGGTCTGAAAAGGCTGCAGCATGTGTTTGCTCACCCTGTTATAAATGACTTTGGCAGGGTTTGAGAGTATGCAACATAACCACCTCAACTATTTTTTCAAGTTTTCATTCCCAGGGTCTAACTAAACATCAAATGCTTCAGGTGAGTGCCCTGGCAGGGAGCAAGCCACTCCCACATCTACCCTATCTCAGAGCAGTTAATTCTGACTCTGTAGCAGGCATAGCCAAGTGGACCTTTCTCTGTCTTCAGGTCCTAAAAATCCCTTCAAGATAAAAGATGAAATCATTGAAAATCAGATTCAGAACAAGATAAGATCAGACTCAGAACGACCCTCAGACCAAGGAGACCTGCCTTCACCAACAGTCCAGCCCGCACCATCTAAACCTCCAAAGTCCTCTGGCCCCAACTGCGCCATCTTTGATAACCAGACTCACTTTGTAGGCAAGGGAGGCCAGGGCTCTAGAACAGCCAGACGATGGCATTTATTTGCCTTTCTGCATGGTGAGGGCTTCCAACAAGGTCCCTGAGAAAGAAACAAACCAAGGAAGAATACCTCGCTGAATAAATTTATATGGTCAGTGAGTTCATTATTCACTGTGTCAATAATTCTGGACATTTGCAATGTTGTGTTCATATGATTTCTTCCACTTTAATATAAATATAAATTTGGCTCAAGGTCTACAAAAACTAGGAATTACTTAATGCTATTTTTTTAGTTGCAATAATATCCTGTTTTTTAAATCCAAATTGTTTGGATTGGAATATACATTATGCATACTATATACACATGTAGTATCTATATCTATATAGGTATACTAGAAATATAGATATAACATCTAATCCCTCTTAAAATGGTCTCCAGATAATAATTTTTTCATTTACATAATGCTTTACTGCAAGTGAAGTGGTTAAGCAGTGGCTCTGAGACTTAAACTCATGTAGGTTTCACTGCCACTTTCATAGTATATCCATAATAGCGCCTCAAGGCAGGACTATTATTCCCACTTACAAATGAGCAGACTAAGGCGCAGAGAGATTAAGGGAACTGCCTAATGTCACGAAACTTAGCAGAGTCAGAACTGGAATCCAAGTCCATGCTGTTTTAGATATGATATATGCATGAAGATAATAATTATTGCAGCAGTATTGATAACAGCATAAATACAGATACTCACTAGCTGACAATAGGCAAATGAATGAAATAATACACCAATTCAGTAGTCATTAAATTATAACTTTAGATAGTAATAATGAGGGTGATAGCTACCTTGTATTGAATGCTTACTTTGTGACAGGAACAGCAACAGCTCTTTATATGAACTATCTGATTTGGGGTTCACAACTCCATAAGCCAGGTATTATCACTGTCTGCATATTACACATGAAAACTGACGCTAAAATAAATTAAATCACTTGATCAAGAGAACTCAGCTCAAAAGAACAAGATTATCTGACCCCAAAGCAGCGTTTCTCAACCTTAGCACTGTTGACACTTTGGGCTGGATAATTCTTTGTTGTAGGGGGCTGTCCTGTGCATTGTAGGATATTTAGCAGTATCCTTGACCTGCACCACCAGTTGTGAAAGGGAAAATGTCTCCAACTTGTCAAATGTCTCCTGAAGAACAAAATAACTCCAGGTTGAGGGTCATTACTCTAAAGCATAGGCTTAACCATTGTGCCAAATACCTCCTTACAACACCACCAGCCTTCCTAGGAGACTGAGATTTGACTACAGGTGTTTTGGGTGGGAAGAGGGGGAGAGGGGCAGTATTCTTGGGCACCTCACCTGTAAGGGAGCAAGGGAAATGGGACTGGGCAGAGGGAGAGTTGAACAGCAATGCCAGCTGACTGCTGAGACAGGACTCTGCCGATTCTACAGGGAGCCCTGGAGCTGGGATGGCCCTTTACAGTTGTCCTGATTCGGACAACAGGGCTTGGTCTATAACCATTCTCCATAGACCAGTCATTGTATGTGGCCTACCCCCAAGGGGGTGCATCCTAGGACGAGTGGCTCTCCCCAAGACAGGGAGAGGACAGTTCTGAGAAAAGGACCCACTAAGAGCACAACAGGCACCAACACTACCATACCCATGGACGGAGTGCCTCTCTGTCCTGAAGTGGCAGTCGGGGTGGAGCACTGCAGCATCCTCTACAAAATATGTATATGAGTATTTTGATTGTTTCATTATAACTCATTTAAAATACATAAGCACATGGATCAAGACTGGAAAGTAATAGGCAAATGAAAATAACAGTACTATAAATTATGGGTTTTTTTTCTTTTTTGAAAGTTGAATACAAGGATGTTGCCATTATACTGTTCTTACTATTTAAAAGAAGTGCTGTGATTTCAGAAAATAAAATTCATAGCTTTAAAACACCATATATTATATATTCACATGGCTATAATGATTCCCAAGCCAGTTTATGTGCCGTAAAATACAGGGAGCTTCTAAGCACTCTTATGTGTACTAATGCATTAAATCTTCTCAATAACCCTAAGGTAGGTTACCTGTAACTACATTTTATGGAGGAGATTGAGTTTCCACAAGGTTAAGTAACTCAAGATCTACATGACTAGTGGGCGGTAGACCAGGGACTTGAACCCATGTACTCTGGCTCTCAAATCCTGGCTCTTACCAACCATGCTTTACCACCTACTACATACCTTTATTTCACACAGTACTCTTGAAGTCCCCTCACAATGGCAGTAACCTGTCTTTTCAGATTTCTTCTTAAAAAATAAACAAAACAAAATTCCTGGAAAAAAACAGTAGAGTAATAAAACGGTAGAGTAATAAGACTACACTAAGAGATAAAAAGTTGCCTTCAAATTTTCTATTTTAAAGTCTTTTCAGATTGAAAGGCTTTTAAGATGCCAATGGAGATTGCTAGAGCAAAGTTATGCCATTTTCCTTTAAAGAATCAATTCTCCCTTCTGCTCTTAACATAAAACAGGAAGTTGTATAGATACCTGTTGGGAGGATGATTCTCTTAGAGTCAAGGCTTTATCCTCTCAAGAGACCTAGGAGGACTAGACTCTCTCTGGGACTCAAGAGGGAACTGCCTTCAACCTAATCACTAGGAACCATTTCTCGTCCTCTAGGGCACTATGGAAAATTCAACTCAAAATCATTAGCATTCAGAAAGATAATTACTTCTCCAAAAGATCTGAGTGAATTTCTATACACTATATTCAAAGTGCCCAGGTCATGTTTTTAAAAATAAATTTCCAACCTCAAAAATTTCTTCCCAGAATGGTCATGGCCTTGACGACAGACAAGCCCTTTAGAACCTTTCTCCCATAGAAACACATAGGGTCCGTGCCAAGTGAACAAGGCCTTCAAAAGGTCCACAGATTGGTCATCTCAATACTTTATTTGAAATGGAATGCATTTTTTAAAATATGAAAAATAAATCACATCTCTCCAAAACCATTTAAGAGACGTATTTACACAAATTATGACCACACTAAGTTCACAAATGTGATGGTAAAGCATTTGGTACATGGTAATATTTGTCTTTCAGAAGCTGACATCTGCATATTCCGAAACTTTAAGCAGAAAGCTGACAGTGGAATGTAACAGACAGTTGTTTTGTCTTTCTTCTCAAAATAAATACAGCGATCTAGAAGGACCATCTATTATTAAAACCTCTTTCCTCACCACCCAGTTGATTACCAACAGGCCAGCTTCAGAGCATGGAGGGGCAGATCTTTTCAGCTTTTATGCGGATGTTCTAATGACCCAGCATCCTCCTGTTTTCTTCATTGGACAACAACGCCCTCTCTAAGAAAATCCTGATGGATCTTATACTCCATTTGGCAGATGTCCTACCAACAAAGTCACAGATCACTTTGTCATCCAATATTATGTAACTTGAGATTGCCTGTTCAACACTGCAGATCAAAAAGTCACCCTTCAAACTGTGTCCGAACTTTTAGTTCTTAAAAACCCATTTAACACAATTTCACAATTAATATATCTTTAGGTTGCTTTAGGCAAACAGTGTATTTTTCTTGAAAGAATCACCGACGGATTTAGTATCAAACTCTATAATTTCCAAATTTAAATTTTATTCTGCTGAGGGCATTTTACTGGTAAAGCAAAAACAAATTTGTTTGACATTTACAAAAAAGAGAGGAAAATGAATGCTCACCAGCCCACCTCGTCCTGCAAAGCTCTATGTTCTGTGGGCTTGCCCCAGTTTCAGTCAAGTCTTAGACTCCTCTTCAAAGCCTGCTATTGAACATGACATTGTAAACACATGGAGCCAGGCTAAAACTAAGTCACTTTCCCTGGGGACAGTAAACAAGTGATGTGTTTGAATTCCCACACTGGCAACAAACTTGTTTAATGTCAAATGTAAATTGAGAAGTCTGTAAGAGAAATACAGTGTTTGACATATGAGAGCAGAAAGTTAAAACAGGCCTTTCAATTTAAGCCACACTTCCTAACAGTGTTTATATGTGAGGGGAACTCTTTTTAAGCAAAGAGTTGGGTTTTCTGTTTTGGGGTTTTTTTAACCTCCATTGGAAAAAATATGTTAAGTGAAATTATAAAGTTGGTTTGATTTCTACATGAGAGAATCCCAGCTTCCTCTGAGGGAAACGTTCATTTTGAAAGGGTCCTTTATAGCCATTTACTGTCTGACCTCAGTACTCCCTGTAGGGCATACGCAGATCTACGCATATGTGACTTCCACTAAGAAAGTATGCCTAAGGAGCTTCGTCATGTGGGGTAGCCTGATTCAGTATTAGTTGTTCTCAAGGAATGACATGAGAACGAGTAAAGGAAGTACTTTGTGAGGCAAGACAAACTACCTCCTGGGTGCTAGGGAGTTACACATTTTTTCCTTCTCTCATTCATTTGTCCCAACAAATAGTTATTGAGCTCACTGTGTATGAGGCTTGGTGCCAACACAAGTTCAAGGACAAAAGTTCAGTTTCCAGATGGGACATTCCTTTTAGTTTTCCAACTTTTTACATCTTATGTTTATTTAAGGGGTGGGTTTTCTATTAGACCTGCCCTTTCCTTTTCCCTTTTCTTGAGTTAAAATAAGTATTTTTACCTTTTTCCATGAAGGTGATTTATCAGGCCTCGTAATGCCTTAGGTGGTTTGCATCATTTTCTTAGGGGTAGAAAAGAGCACCAACACCTTCAATGACATGCATCTGTATTTTGTTTTGTTGAGCCGTTTTAAGCATACCTGTACTTTTGTTCTGGAAAAATTATTAAACCATAATGATTTCAAAGTTTCAAACAACAGAAACCATCTTACTCCTCTCCTTTCTCATTTCTGAGGTTTCAGTTAAATGTTAAGAGGCATTCAGACTAGAGAGGCACTAAAACGGGTCAACTCAGCATAAATATCACAGCAGACCAGGGACTAAGTGCTGTGAGGCACCATGATTCTAATGGCCTCATTAAGACCCATAGCCATTGTGGGGAAAAAAAAACTCCAGCAGCCAGCATAATTTTTTTGATGACACTACCTAGCCTGTATGTACGCTAACTACATACAAGTGCCTTTTAAAACCCTTCATGACTCTTAATTTTAAAGGTGCTTAGTATGGATTTTACTATTTTTTTTATAGCACAAGCATTTGAAGGAAAAATCATTCTATGTGGGACAAAAACTGTGGTTTAATCGGAGTTAGATGATCTACATGTATTAAAACTACAGTACAATGAGGCATTCTCTAAAAAGTCCAGCAGTGGTTCCAAAGAAGCCAAACCAAACTTGACTTAAACAAAACTCTTTAGATCTGGCTCTCTGAGCTGCCCATCATATATATGTTTATACATATATGAGTTTTTAAATCTTGGCAGCATATTTTCACAGCCACAACTTAAACCGCCACTGGAAGTGGGACTCCACTTAAATTCTGCTTGCCACTTGCTCGAGTTTCAGTTTTCCCCTGCAACTTTTTGGATTTAGAGGTATGATCTCAAAATGTCATCATTTACATATTGCACTAAAAAGAAATGTGACCATGAAACTCCTTTCTAGATGGAGGGAGACTAAAGGCATCTCTGGCATAAAATTCTGTTTTCATTTTTGGACTACGTAACTTAGCAGAGGGCTGATCCTGACCACGCCAAACTGGATGCTGGAAAAATACTGATCAAGACTTTGTGGAAAAGATAATGGAAAACAAAGACCTGTTAGTAAAGCCATGCAGATAGGAAGTGATTTTCAGCCCCAAGAGGATTTGGTATCATCTATGGCTCGTTTTAAACTGAAGTAGCATCTGCCCTTGTGGATTTTGACCATCCTTTTGATTTAACACAGAAGAGGGTTTGTTCTACCTTTAAAAGCACATCCTCCCCCACCCCTACCCCTCCTGAACAAGTGGCTGCTGAAACAAGACTGGGGTTGTTTTCTTACTGAAAATCCAGTGTTTATCCAGTCCTTCCTTTTTCAATTTCTGAGTTTAGTTAACCTAACAACAAAACATATAACCCTCCAATTTCTCACAGAGCGATAAAAAGCAAAACAGTTGGTTTCTCTAGCCAACATTATTTTCAGTATGAAAACAAAGTTATGACTCCTAGTCCTTTGAAATATTTATAAACTGCATTTTTAAAGGCTAAGATTCTAGAGTATGCTTCTATAATAAAGGAAGAAACCGTTGGTTCAAGTAATGTATGCAGAGTCCTTGGAGAAGGGTCATCTCTAGTGTGGACAAAGCACAGATGTTGTCTCAAACAAGTTGAATGATTCTGTTTCGCCCCTTAGTATATTTTTTTGAAATGAAACACCTACTGCATTCATACTCAGAAATCATAGAAATCTCCTTATTAAAGCCTTCACACACAGATCATATAAGCGAGGCTTTTCTTCTCCTACAGTAGAGGTAGCCCTACCACATCTACAAATAAGACCATTCTGCCATCAGTTGGGTTATGTTTTAAATATTTTGAATTAGATATCATCACTACCCATTTCCTTTTAGAAAAACAATTAGATTTTCATAATTACACAATTATGAACATTTAGCTTCTTTAAACTTCTAGTCTACACAAAATATATGCCTAAGGAAAAAAAAAACTCAAAAAAAAAAAAAGAAGTTATATCACAGAGTTTAATTTCAACCACCTGGCATAACAATGAAAGTGTCAGACATTCTGAAAATGCCCTAGGAATAATGAAGGAATTGAATGAATTCTTAATGTTTTCCCCTTCACCAAGTCCCTTTTACTCTTTTCTTTTCCAAGATTAGAACTTACTAGGGAATAGGTTTTTGAAAATAAAGTTTCTTTTTGGAAAACGGCCTACATTCAGAAATGTCTAAGAACAAGTATTTTTTTAAAAAAACTAATAAATAATCATAAATCAAAATACATTAAAATAAAATTACAGTACATCATCGCTCCTAGGAGGTCCACCATACTAGAAGTTCCTTTCAAAGGTTCATAAATAAAGCCTCTGGACTCAAAATCGTTTCCTGCATTGTGATGAAGAGTACGCAGAAAACTAAGAAGAATCGCGAGTTATCAGTCGGGTGTTGTCCAAGCGGTTTGGTCTCGCGCGCGGGGCGGGGAGACTTTTGTTTGCCATCCAAGGTGAAGACAATAGAAAGGTGCTCGTCCCACTTCCTTATGTCCTCAAAACCTGGAAAGAAATGACACGGAATGAAGTAGGTGGCTCAGAATCCTTTAAGACCCAGTTCTCTTCGAGCCAGTCCGGTGGACAAAGCGTGCTCGCAAAGACACCATCGTCGCTCTCTCGAGTGCCCAGACACGGTCCAGGGGCGCTTGTGACACGGAGAGAGTGGCAGCGTCGCTGGGGAGCGCACCAGTGAGCGCGTGCGGGGCAGGGCGGGCGGGGAGGCGGCAGGCGAGGCCTCTGTGCCTGGCCCGAGTCCCCCCCACCCTCCCCTCTCGGCCCGGCCTCTCCTGGCTCCAGCTTGTTTCCCTTCTTTCTGCCGCCCCAGAAACTGGGCATAATTAGTAATTTTTCCACCCAAGAGCCAAACCTAGGAACTCCTTCCTACTCCTCCTAACAGCCCCGAGATCCATTCCTCGGAACGGCCCTTGGTAAGCGGGAGTTGCCGGGACCTTACCTTGTCTGGCCCGGGTGCTGCCCCCTTCAGGCAGAGTTGGAGGTGCTGCGGAGCAGCCGGTGGCCGTGCGGCTGCGAGAGCGGTTGTTGGTGCGAGTGCGGTAGTTGATGCGGGTGCGGGTGCGGGTGCTGGTGCGGATACGGATGGAGCTGCGGGGGCTGCGGCTGGAGCTGAGTCTGAGGCTTGGGTTGGGGCTGCGGCTGGGATTGCAACTGGGGTTGGGGTTGGGGCTGGGGTTGGGGTTTGGGTTGCGGCTGAAGCTGCGGCTGCGGGGGCTGCTGCTGAACCAGGTGCTGCTGCTTCTGCCGCGTGGACTTAACCGCCAGGATCGCCTGACGATTCTTGTACTGCACCATCTGCAGCGTGATCTCGGCGTTCCAGCCCTGGTCCTGAGGGCAACGAAAGTCGATCTCCTTGCCCTCGGTCATCACCACAGTGAAGTACATATACTTGCCCTTGCGCTCTACGCAGTCCACGGTCTTCATGTTGGAAAAGTGCAATTCCTTGAGCTTGACCGGCGGCTCGAGGCTGGCCACAGCGGGGCCTCCGGGTTGGGACGGTTCGGCCGGCCCCTGCCCCGGCTGTGGCTGCTGCTGCTGCTGCTGGTGCTGGTGTTGCAGCTGCTTGGGTGGGATGAGCAGCAGCCCCTCCTCAGTGAGAATGCAGCACTTTTTCTTCCAGAGCTGCAGCAACCCGTCGCTTCGCTTCTCCAACACACCCTCCTTCAGCGCCTTGCAGCCGCTACTCTCCAACATCCTAACGGCATAGGGGGGGCCGCCGCTCGGCTCGGCCTCTCCACTTCCAGCCGCCCGGGCCCGGGGCAGCAGCAGTAGCCGTGCGCCGTCCTCGCCCCAGCGGCTCCCGCGGCCGCCCGCCCGGAGCGCGCAGAGGAGGCTAACACGAAAGAAGCAGAGCGGCGGCGCCTCGGGGTCCGGGCAGAGGGGCAGCCGCGTCCTGGTGCGCCACAAGGTCCCGGAGCTGCGAGCCGCCGGGCCTCTGCCGTCCTCTTGTGAGCGCTCACTGAAGGGCACTGGCCGGGCCCCCTCGCGGCGCTTTTGAATGGGCCATTCCCCCCACCCCCGAGTGACACCCAGCGGAAAAGGCGGCTCCTGGCTCCCGCACCGCGGGGGAAAGCCCAGCTCCGAAAGGCGCTCTGCCGCCGGCGCACGCCTCATTAACTTGGGGCCTTTCCAAAGCCGCTCGCGTCCACGCCCCCCGCGTCCCTTGCTCCGCCTCTCGCCGCCCACTCGCTTCCGCGCTCCTACCCCGGGCTGGCAGCAGGGACCCAAGCCCCGGAAACTCCTCTCCTTTGCCAGGAGCGACAGCCGAGGGCGCCCCAGCTGCCTGGCGACAAATGCCGACGCCCAGAGGGTGCTGACAGGCCATCCCCACCGTCCCTCCTCTCCCCGACCTGCTGTCTGCTAACAGCCTCAGAAATGGAAGATGGGGCTGCGAGGTGGGCACGGCGACCAGACAGTGCCTGGAACGCCAAGCTGTTTCTCTGCCCTCGGGAACCAGCCCTGGGGATTTGCGCTGAGCTCCGGCATCCCGCAGAGCCAGTGTCCTGGCCAGGGCGAGCAAGGAGGCTGGAGATGAGGCTTGTGAGCCACGGAGTCCCGGTAAATGTGCCTACCCCGGACCCTACGTAAACATCAAAGGCCGAGAGGATAGTGTCATTGTACTCACATTCGCTCACGGTCAATAACTAGGTCTTCATGGAACCGAGGTGATTGTTAAAGCACTAGCGCTACAGTCTGTCCTGTTTGGAAGGGGTAGAGGAAGGTGACCCACTTCAGATGGCACCTCGCTTTCCTTTTTTCTATCGGAAGTGCAGGCGCTAGCCTATCTTCATCTGGGACACAAGCTGTCTAGCTTCCTTCTTGACTTATCCGTGCAGTCTGCAACATCTCACAACTGTTAACTCCAACTACTAACCTTGCTGAGACCCCACACTTCAAGGCACAGCTCAGCCCTTCAAACGGCAGCTTGGCCTCTGCGGGTCTTTCTCTTTGCAAACATCTAACGGGCCAAAATCTTATGTATCTTGTGAGCTGAGGAAGGTAGCTCCCCCGTAGCTCTGTCCTACTCCCACATTCAAACAAGTCCTATAGAAATTCTGAGAAGACAAAGGAGATAGATAGAGAGCATAAACCGAAACCAAACCTTTTATGGTGGAGACTCATCCCTTCAGTAAACACAGACCCCCAACCTTCCCTAAGGATATAAATAAGAATCACATGAAGAAGAAATAAACCAGGTGTGGACAAGCCAGAGTTGGCCAAGGCAAGAGAAAAGACTGCTGCTTTTGCCCAAGAAGGAAGAAGGGAGAGCGCTTAGCTCATCTGCTAGTTTCATGTGGCTGGAACAAAGAACTCAATAGGGGAAGTGAACGATGAGCTTGGAGAGCAGAGCAAGGGTCAAGTCCTTTGTGCCATGCTAAGAAATTCAAAGTTAATCTCAAGGCAATTGAGAACAAAGGATAATTTTTAAACACAGTAGGGTCCTGAATCTTAATCTAAGGAACAATGTCTTAGCAAACGGGGCAATTCCAGCAAAATCCTGAGTCCTACTGAATTGTACTTGACAGGTTCTCAGAGCCTTCACATTGTTAATGGATTAGCAGTCATTTAAGGGAAAATGGAATTACTAAAATTATGTAAAGATTTCTAGTAAGATTATGTAAAAAAAAAATCTGTGTACCAATAACAAGCACTACACCTAACATCTCAGTTCTTTGCTTGCCTTTGTAAGACAAGCATTCCAGAGAATTTCTACATGACCAGCTGTTCATCTTTTTAACAGAATGCCATTCTTCAGCTCATTTGGAAAGGATACTTTAAGTGTGTAATTCAGAGTCCCTAAGGGCAGGTGTAGTTGGGAAAGATATTTCGTATGGAAAAATGATACAATACAAACTTGACTGGGTAAAAAATAAGATGTAATCTGGAAGCCCAAGCCATTTCCTTATGAGAAACTCAATATATTTGGAGTTTTCCAACCTGCAGTCAAGATGCAACAAATGCATTCTATCTAAATTACTTCAGAATGTCTGAACAACAAGCACGGTTTTCCAAAGCACTTATTTTTATTATAACTAGAGACTTTAAACTCAGAATTTCCTGTTGGGTATTTCATGATTTAGTGACTTTGTGACCAGGTCAGAAGTGAAATGTGCGCTCTGAGCACAGTGCACTGACTATTGGAAATCTTAGTAGTATACAAATCTTGTAGATTGGTGATGACTTTTATCGTAATTTATTTCAACAGTCACCACCAACTCACAAAACTGGTCATATTGGCAATGAGATAAATTCACAAAAAATGAATTATAGGAAAAATCTGTTTCCAACACAAGTTTAGCTGTCGATATAATGAAAACCTACGAATGTTGCTTAAAATTTACTAAAGTTAGGAAGCTAGCTAACAAAATCATTGCTTTGGTAAACAAATTTGAAATGGCAAGTTCAAACTGCACATTACGGCTGGCTCCATCAAGTTGTCTGTCTAGTCACATCTGACAGTTGATCATTTTCTCCTCTTGGATACAGTTCTTCACTTGGCTTCAAGGACATTACTCTTAGTTTTCCTTCTACCTCCCTGGTTACTGTCTGTCTCCTCCACACGTTCCTCCTCTTCCCTCCAATCTTTTAATATTAGCCCCAGAGCTCAGTCCTTGGTTCTCTTCTTTATTCACTGCCTTGTTGATCTCATCCAGTCTCATCACTTTCATTAATATCTATGTGCCGAAGACTCCCAAATTTATATCCAACTGCTTGTTGCCAAAGAATAAAACAAAGACCACCAAAGTTAAAAAAACAAATAACTAATATTCCAGGCAAGGGAACACATACTAGTGAAGACATTCAATGAGTAGTTCACTAGAGGGAAAAGTCGGAGGGGACTGTAGGTCAGAGAAAGCAGGGTTCATAAAGTTTTGGCTAATAAAAAATGAAAAATAACGCTCTGGATAGGATAGTCCATAGGTTTATATGTGATGGGTTAATACAAATTCCTGGATGGAACGGGTTCAGTAAGGGTCTGGAGTCACTTAAAGTTCATGGTTTTTTAAACAGCTTTAGCTGGTTAGAATGGCTGTAGTGAAAAACAGCTTTCAGTCTCCCTTGATATATTCCAGGTATTACTAGAAATTGAATTTTTTCCTTTTGCCCTTCTCTACGGTACCATTAGGATATCTAACAGAGAACTCAGCTATATGTACTCCCAAACTTATCTCGTCACCCTGATTGATCTCTTCCTGCACCCCCTTCTCAGTTGATGGCAATTCTATCTGTACAGTTGTTCAAGGCAAAACCTTGGAGCAGCACTGCCCTGCAAGCCGAGAGGCCCTCACCTTCTAGAGCCCTGAGTTTTAGAAGAATCAAAATGACATGTCTATGTGGAGCTCATCCTCATTCTAGACCAGCGGTTCTCAACCTTCCTAGTGCCACGACCCCTTAATACAGTTCCTCATGTTGTGGTGACCCCTAACCATAAAATTATTTTCGTTGCTACTCTATAACTGTAATTTTGCTACTGTTATGAATCGTAATGTAAATATCTTTTTGTTTTCCGATGGTCTTACGCGACCCCTGTGTAAGGGTCATTCGACCCCCAAAGGGGTCGCAACCCACAGGTTGAGAACCGCTGTTCTAGACTATACTCCAGGTACGCAGGATTCCAAATACCCTGCCTATATATATGGCCTTGACATTTGCAGGGTATGCATTCTATAACCAGTGCGTGCACTGGTATGTGGAGGGAGAGGACTTTGAAGACGCAGGCTAGGATGTCCACACAAATAAGCAGGAGGTCCCTTGCCATACAATTCAGAGCCAGGGATGGGAAGAAAATTTGTCAAGATGGGAGCATTGAATGTATTTTCACTTAACAAAACTTTCAAATATTTAAGCATTGGTGTCTCCATTGTAATCTTGCCCCAGGACTGCAAATGTTTAGTAGCATGCCTACCTTGCAGTAGTCCTTTACTCATTTCTTTTGATACCCAAGCCACAAATTGAGTCAGGAAATCCCATCAGTTAAGCCTTCGAACTACATGTATATTCCGTCCATTTCTCCCCACTTCCTGACCATCCTGATCCAAATCACTATCATGTCTCCCCTGAATTACTGTGATGGCCTCCTAGCTTGTCTCCCTGATTTTAGCCTTGCTGTCTTAGAATCTATTTCAATATAGCAGTTAGGGTCATCCTAATCACATTCTTCATTCATCTTTGCTCAAATGTCCTCAATGAGGTTTATCAGTCACTATAAATATGGCAACCACCCAATTCCCCTTAATTTTCCCCATAGCATGTATTACCTCCTAACATACCACTGAGTAGTATATTATGCCTATTGCTTATTTCTGTCCCCCTTCCTATGGAACGTAACAGGGCAAGGATCATTGATCCAATCACCTAGTACAACTCTTGGTACATAGTAGGGACTCAACAAATGTAGAAATTTAAATTGAATTAGAAGCTCCTGTCATAAAATCAAATGTCTTTAAATGCTTTTGGCAATTTTTCATAATGTATCCTAAAAATTTTTTGAGGCCAGTCGAGTGGCTCTGTTGGTTAAGAGCTCGCTCAAGAGTGCGAACCCTGAGCAACAGCAGTTCGAGTCCCGGCCCAAGCTGAGCTGCCAACAGGTGGCAGGATGGCTCAGCTAAAAAGAAAAAAAATAATAAAAATGTTCAAACTGTAATAAGACTATGAATAAATGTCCAAAACCAATATATATTTGGTATAATTTTTTTTTTAGTGGATAACTACTACATGCTAGGCCTCTCTCTGAATCTTAAATTCTATAGATGCTACCTAAAATAAGTCCTACAAACCTTTCCATTTCAAAGCAACATGCAATTTAATATTGTGAGAGGTATTTACATAAACTATCACCCTATTGGTTTTCTAGTTAAGAGTAACAAAGGATGAGCAACACAGTAATGGAACTGAATTGGTAGCAATTTCTCTTACTTAGCAGTAAGTGGTCAAAAACTTGCTTAAAGGTCCATTAATCAATACTGGCTTAAAGACATTTAACAGAACTTGAAAAGTTATAAAGAAGTGTTTACTTTCATTTTCAACTTGATTACAATAAAATCTTTAATCTATAAACTTCCCAATTTGCAATATACAGTAAAAACCCATGACAATGATTATTATTATAGGTTTGGATAGAGCGAAGTTCAAGTGTCTTTCAAGAAATAGTTAAAAGCCAAATAACCTACGAAAGTGTCAGGTTACCCTCATCAGTGCATAGACCCGTGTTCAGACTGCAATGTAGACTTCTTAGCCATTCATTTCCTCATTATTAAATACTATTCAGTAGAAGCCCATCATAAAGACAATAACCTCCAAAATGCCAAAATGAAAAGATGAACTCTCTGCAATTGAATACGGAACTAATCAAACTTCTTACATGCATTGGCCTGCCTTCCTTGATGAACTGATGCCTCCTAGTGATCAATTTGTATAACACAGCTTCTACCAAGTCAGAAGTAAAAGGTGTTTAGTGCTCTATTCAAGCATTTTTAGAACTGTTATTACAACCCTCTTGTAGATCAAGCACTGTCAACCAGCTGTCTGTCTATTCTATTCTTGCCAATAATCTAATTCAGGTCCTCATTTCTTTCAGTTATGCTCTTGTAAGAGACCAACTACTTGAAACCATTCTATCCTATACACTGCATTGCTACCAGTTCTATTCCTAAAATGATAAGAAAACTTTTAATCACCTCCCACGGTATGAGAACATTCCAGTTCCTTACTCAGGCATGGAAAACCCTCCAGAGTAAGTCCTATTTGCCTTTACAATTTAGACTCTCCTTCCACTCAACCCTAAGTGAGCTCCAGTCACTATCTACTTGTGTTAAGATAGCTTTGCTTTCCCAAATCCTCTGTAACCTTTTGTTCTTCAAAGCCCAGTTCAGATCCCACCTCTTAGATTCTTTTGGCTAATTCCATCCTAATCATATTCCACTACTTCCATCTGATCAGCAGTTAACGTCTTGGTTGAATGTTCTCATCGTTGTACCTAGTGACACAGTGGATCATGATGGAGATTGTTCAATTGACAGCATGTAAACGGAAGTTAAAATGTTAGTTCTGGCTGGAAATATATTGTTATTATTCAAAACAGGGTAGGCAGGCTGAATAGACATTTAAGATGTTCAAAAAGTAACTGGGCTTAGGAGTCTGATGATGCATTAGATAGTTGTTAGGGTAAAATTAGCTTTGAAGTGACAAGTGAAAATGAGTGGATAAAATGGAGAAGGGGTTCAGTTCTCTTCTTTTTGCCCAAAGTTCAGCACACAGGAGATATGAGCAAGGAGAGGAAGTTGGCCCAATGAAGGAAACTGAGAAGAACCAATACTACAAAACCGCTAGTACTCTAGAATGGATCCTGACTTCTGCGTCTTCAGGGGCGGCAGCAAATAAGCATCAGGTATTACTGACAGCGGAAGCACTGGTGAACTTGTTTCCTTTGAGCATTTCCATAGCTGAGTAACATCCTCGCCTCCGTCCTCCATTCAGAGCCCCAAAGCACCTAATATCCTTTCCTAAGTCCTCTTCTACTCCAACTACGTAAATGCTGGTGCTGTTTGCAACTCAAATATCTTATAGCCACTTGGGCAAATCTCTCCATTTCAGGGACTGGATTCCTAGGACAGCACTCTCTTTTGCAGTCTTTTGTTACAACACAGCACACCACCTGAGAGAACAGACTATTTAATTTGATCATTACTGATAAATGTAAAAAAAAAATTCAGTAAATGAGCAAAGGCATTTTTTCTAGGCATTGGAGGAAGAAAAGTAGCAGTGAATATGCATCATTTAAAAAAATTCGAGGATGGTGTGACAAATTTGCTGGGGTGCTGGCTGTAAATGGTAAGTTGACTGAGGAAGAGGAACTCAGGTTTGTTGGCCAAGGATTGGAGTATGGAGGTTGCATCACAGATTACAGAATGTTGGAGGACTGAAGAGCGAAAGGGATGAAATAATTCTGTAGGGTAGCGAGCCCCAGAATGGTAGACGGATGCTTTTACCAAAGACAGAACTCAAAAAATCTTTCTATGGCAAGCTTCCACATTGGTTCTCATAGATCTATCGGAAAAAGCAAATCCCTATGTTAGAGACAACAAAATCGCCACAGTTCCTAACAAACTACCTGACTCAAATAAATCATTATTTGAATAACTTAGCATCCCTTAACAGCTCAGAAACTAGAACATTTAGTTGTTTCTAATGGGGTTCCATTAACACCTGTAGTCATTGTCGCAACCCATCTGTGTATGCGAGACAAAGTAAAGCCCTGGATGAAGATGAGGACTCGTTAGAATGCGCCCTTTGGGCTGCATTCCTTAATTACCATTCTGGGGCCCATTTACTTATTTGTGAAATGCAGTGATTTGCCTCATGTGTTCCAGGAAATCCTTAACCAAATAATCTTTTTGTAAACGCGAAGTTCTTCATTATATGCAGCCAATGTGGTTGTCAACCCAACCCCATTATCCAATTTCCAACAAATTCAGCTTTGGCTCTAGATGTCCAGGTCTACATCTACCAGCCTTTGGGGTGCTGTAAGTGCGCATCATAGGCTCTTCTTTAAATATGGTTGGATGCCAGGAGCCTTCTGCCTCCTTCTACCCCACATGCTGCCTAGAACCTGGACATGGCAGTTAAGAGCCGCAGACAATAATGCAACTGTAATGATTGAAGCATATGCGGAGGACAGCAAAGCAGGGGATGGAAGCCTTTCTCTGATAACTAAAGTGAAGTCCAGTTTAACTCTGGTCTCTAAAATATCTGATATTCAGAAATCTCTAGCTTAAAGAAAGTGCCTATTTAACCACTACTTGTGCACATAGGAATATATGCAAAGAAGCCAGTGGAGGGGTCTCTCAGAGTGAGTAGGATGGGCAGAGGCCAAAGAAATACTGATTCCAACTTGTGGCCTTGTTCAAGTTATTTAACTTCTATCCTTACATATAAAGAGGGAATTACCATCCTCAAAGTATGAAGATTAAATAAAGGATAATTCCTATTATCATAAATGGTTAAATACACATATGGGCCCTTCAAAAATCATTAAGATCTATAATGCTATAGGAGTGGGGGCAGTGACATGGCAACCTGGACACGTTTGTTGTAGGGCTGTGTACCAACCCCAAGAAACATTTCAGACAAGGCAAATTGGCGTTCAAGAGCAAGGCTCCTGACTATGGGTTCAAGATGCAGAGTAAGCCCAAGCTCAGCTCCTCTCATTGACACCAAAACAATACCTACATATAGAACAGTTCTCTGAGAATGACCTGAAGACTAGCAGAACAGATTTCCTGCAACTAAGGATATAAAGAAAACCACGAGATGGGTAGGACGGGTAGAGACTCAAT